AAAATAAAGAGGAAGAGAAGAAGAAATGAAGAGGGAGAGAAGAAGAAATACTTCTGTACTGATAATGTGTTGAAAAAACATGTTGAGCATACAACTTAAATAGAAAAAGATAGGAGAGACAAACTGCCCTCTATCACATCGATTCGTAGAGAATAAAAAAAAAGATAGGAGAGACAAACTCCTAGGATCTCTCTCAATTACTCCTAGAATCTCTCTGAATTAGGGATAGATTAAATCTTTCCCTTAATCCTAAGATATGACTTTCCTAATTTTATTCAAATCTAATCTTTCCTAAATTTATTCAAATCAAATCTGTAATCAATCAAATCTTTCTAAATTTGCAGCAAATCATATCTTTCTTAATTTGCCGCAAATCATATCTTGCCGACAATAGCAAAACAGAGAGATGATGATCCTTGTGATCCAGGGCAAATTGTATTATGATGTACTCTGGACTACAAAGTAGCTAAAACACTTGTAATCCCTTCCTCATTCCTGAACACACACCCCCAATCCCCAAGGACCCTGGATTCCTTATGCTACTACCATCAAAATTCAGTTTTATGAATCCAGAGGGTGGAGAAGTCCAAGAGGGGCTAGGAGTCGATACTTTGGGGAATTTTACCAGCAGCCATCATCTAGACGTTTGCAGAGAAAGAAACTTGCAAGTTTTTTAGAACAAGCATTGTGATTTAGACACAGTAAAAAGCAAGTTAAAGGGTTTGTTACGTTGCTGGTTAAACATTCAAACTCCTTTCCAGGGTGTCCAGCCTAGTAATTTTTTTTATGCTGGATCCAAATTTTCTTACTTATGTTCCTTTGCTTTCTTTTTGAATATTCCCATTGTACAGCATCTCTTTGTACATGGATTGGCTGTGGCTTTTGGCTTTATTTAATGAAAGATATTACCCTACCTGATCTGCAACAGAACCCAAGGAAAGTCCAATATGCAAACAAGACACAAGGGCAGGATTACCTAGGTCCAAAGGTGGAATAGTTTGAAGATTAGCCTACACATGTCTATCCAGCTTATTAATTGACACAATCCTTGCCTATAAGAGGACCTTCTTTGGGGTTGGTCTCTGTGACCACATACTTAGGTGCATTCATTTCCCCAACTCTTAATTCAATCCTTTGCCTCTTAATTCAATCTTTCTTGCACCCATTTCCCCAGCTCTTCCCAATTCGCAATACTCCTACTCATAGTAATCACTAGTTTGTCCTTCCATCCTTTTCTATTCCCTTGTATCATTAATTTAGATTGATTATCCATTTCCCCAACTCTTAATTCAATCCTTTGCCTCTTAATTCAATCTTTCTTGCACCCATTTCCCCAACTCTTCCCAATTCGCAACACCCCTACTTATAGTAATTACTAGTTTCTCCTTTCATCCTTTTCTATTCCCCTGTATCATTAATTTAGATTGATTATCTATCATCACCATTATAGGATTCTCGCTTTCTGTTGGGGTTTCTTCTATGCATGTGTTTTCTTCTTCACCCCTTCAATCTCCCATGTCTTATAGAGAAATTCCTTCCAAGAACCCTCTCCAACCTGTTGTCAGTGTCATCCTTCTTGAATAATTATTAGCTGCTTCTTCCCTTTTCTAAGCTTCTTAGTCAAACTCACATAACTCCCTTTTACATTTCTTCTCCTTCCTGTGATATACTGCTTCCCCACCTGTGCAAGATAGTCTTCCATGCCAATCTCCATTCCATGTAAACTAATCCATTGAGGAATTTTCTGAACCATATCCAAACTTTCCCTACCAGCAGAGTTGTCCCTTTAGGACCTTGAATCTTCACCCTCCACCCCAATTTGATGTCTCCTCCAATAGAAATTCTTTAGCTTCATTTTTTTTCTTTTGATCAATAACACAGTTCATTAATTATCACAATGGGAATTACAAAGAGGAAGACAAACTTTCTTATCTTCCACCTTCAGGTTGAGCCCCAAGAAATGAAAAAGAGAGAAAGGGAAAAGGAAAAAGGAAAAAAGAAAAAAAAAAAGATTTAAATTACAATTGTGCCCAGAACATTGACTCCCTGTCCACCCCTTGTTTTTTTTTTTTTTTGATCAGTAAATAATATGCATGTAATGTGATCCTGTCCACCTTGTTTAGCTAACCCATCAGCAAAAGAATCAGCTGATCTTTTAACCCAACTGATTTTAACTTCCACTTCTCGAACCAGCCATATGAATTTCCTTCTCATATTGCTATATCTCCATAAACAACTATCGTCTTTATTCAGCCACCCTACCACCACCTCCGAGTCCCCTTTAATTATGAGTTTTCTGAGATTCATCTCCCTAGCTTTCTGGACTCCTTCCAAAACTGCATGGTGATAATGGAGTAACGGTTTCCAAAGGTTTCACCATCTCCTGTTACCTAGAGAACTTTTATATCCCACAAACATTAGGTTCTAAAAACTAAAAAGAGTTATCTTAATTCATCTTTTGAGCATTATGACATAACAGTAGGTACTTGTACTGTGACAACATGCCAATTCAATTTGAATTTTCAGCATGGCTACATGAAATGCTGGAACTCATAAATGAATTAGTTTGGATTTTAGGGGAGCGGACAGGACACCATTAACCATTTTTTCGCAGATAATAGATATGACATCCATTATTTCCTGCCAATATAAAATTATCACGATCAAACCATTCCCCATTAGCCTTCTTAGGGAACATACCATTTACAAATTTCAACTTTAACAGAAATAGGACAAGTAAACTAAATTTGCTCTTGAGAGAAACAATAAGAAATAAAAGAAGGAAAAATAGGTCACCTCAGATAATTTACGACGATACTCCTCGGAATCCGACGATATCCCACCTAAAGAATATTTGTAATCAACAACATTGAAAGTAATCTGCATCCAATAAATAAGATTCGATTATAAGCCAGAAATAGGGTAGAATAAATTGAACCAAAAAGAGCAAAAATGGAGAAGAAATACTTCGAAAAAAGAGAAGGGTTAATTATGAGATAGAATCTGACAGTGTAGATAGCCCGAGAAGAGCGGATAACGCCATTAAATCCTGCCCTTATCTTCTCAGGAAAGCCTGAAATCGCCGAAGCAATTGGGGAATCCAAGGGAATGAGGTTGGAGTTCACTGCTTGAAAGGTAAGACCGGCGGCTCCAGTTGCCGTGATGAGATACAGAGTGGTCTTAACCCTGGCGGGAAATTTGAAAAGTTTGACCTTTGTAGACATTGGAGCTTCTGTGCGTAGTGGTGGTGGTGGTGACCGTTGTGATGCAAATCTGCAAGTGGAAAGGAACGGAAGAATGAATTAGGGATAGCCGACTAGTCGTCGTCTGGAAGCTACCAGCCTACCACTCTACTCAAGAGGAGGAGAGGAACAGCAGAATTAGAGAAACAGGAAGCTCGCGTTTGGTAGAAGCTAGTCAAGGTACTAGCTTGCTACTCATTGAGCGCGCCTCACACCAACCTCACAGCGCATCGCAGCCGTGCATTGGGATGATCTTTCATAAGGAGATGTTCTCAATGCACGGCTGAGATGCGCTATGAGAAAGGTCTGAACTGCGCTCGTCAGGAACAAAATCCGATCTCTCAATCATAGTTTTACCATAAAAAACGGAAAATTCTAGTTTAGTATGAATTTTGGGTCGTATTAAGTTAGTACTATAACTTTTAAAGAGGTCACTATAGTATTTAAATTTTCAAAAAATGTCAATTTGGTCCCAGCCGTTAAGCCACTGTCAATTATATGTTGAAAATGTTAAAACTACCATTCAAAAGAAGATATTGTTCATTGTCTTTTACCTTGAAATTAAATCGGTTATCTTTAAAGAAAAAGATAAAAAAAATATGAAATATAATAGAGGGAAACAATAATTAAAAGCAAAGAAATAACTAGACAAGTATGTGTTTCAAATCTAAAGGTAGAAGACAATGACTTCATTAGTCTAGAATCTCAAACACCTCAACTAGTTCAGCCTCAAGATAGAAGACAATGAATAGTGTCTTCTTTTGAAGGGTAGTTTTAACATTTTTAATAGATAACCGACAGTCGGTTAATGGCAAGGACCAACTAGACACTTTTTGAAAGTTTAGGTACTGCAACAACCCATTTGAAAGGCAAGGTACTAACTTGACACCACCCCCAAAGTTCAAGGTATTAAAGTGAAATTTTCCCCAAAAAAAATCTCTTAATCATGATTATTTTTGTCAGGTGTGGGCCTTTTAGAAGTAGGTTTAATTGCCACTATTTAATGATTTTAAAATGTGGATTTTGAGTGTGGCTCTAAAATTTTGATTATGATTTTTGGGTAGTTTTTCCATTGGTTTATAAGTAATTTCCACCCTATCTCAATATGTTTGAAAGGGTTTCATCTGAAATATCCATTTCAAAGAGTCAATACTGGATTGTAACTAAAATTTCATGAAATGTTTAGCTAAATCATAGTTACATCTCACCAAATTTTTTTGACTGAAAATAGTTTCTTGCTCATATCAACTTGCCATTACACTATAAATTTCATTTTATTTTTGCTTGTAACTTCCCTGTTTATTCATAGTCATAATGGTTGGATCTGCAATAGCAAATGAATTAAGAAAAACTAAAAAACTTAATGGCAGTAACTTTCCTCTCTAGAAATGTAGGATCAAACTTACATTAGATCAAGAAGATGCTGAATACATATTAGAATAAGATGTTCCCTCTATTCTTGGTGATGATGCATTATTGGCAGTTAGAAAAGCCTATCAGAAATACCTAAAAGATAATAAAACAGCCCATTCTTGCTTGTTAACATTTATGGAACTAGACATTGAAGTCTTGTTTGAAGAATATAGGAATGCTAAACAATTATTTGATGCAATTAAGGAAGCTTATGGAAAGGTAACTGAATCCTATGTCCAAATGTTAATAGAAAAATATTATGCTTGTAAGATGAAAGATGGAGATTCAATGATAGATTATATTAATAAGATGAGTGTTATTGCAAAAGAATTAGCAGTAGCTAAGAATCCTATCCCCGAAAAAATTCAGGTGTCTACTATATTGCATAGTCTTCCAGGCTCTTGGGAAAATGTGGTTGTTGCCTTAAATCTTTTTGGAAGAGACATTAATATGAAAAACCTACCAAACTTGCTAGGCCTAGAAGCTGAACAAAAGAGCAAAAAGGCTCAATCATCATCATTTATAGTTGCCACTAATCCAATTAAAACCAATAAAACTACTGAAAAAATTGAGAACTATAAAGGTAAAGGAAAGTATCATAATAAACTTAATTTTTCAAGGAAGTTCAAGAAAACTAAAGGCAAATGTTTATTTTGTGGGAAACCAGGCCATACCAAATATAATTGTTATCAAAACAAGAATAATAAAGATAACAATCATAATAAATCAGCAAAGAAAGATATCAGTTGTGTGGTTTCTGAATCATTACTCACTGATATTGATTATGTTGATTGGTGCATTGATTTGGGTTCTTCTCCCCATATATGCAAATCCATTGACCTATTTATGGAGATGAAGGATATGAAGTCTAGCGAACATAGGATCTTCATGGGAAACAATACCTATTGTGATGTACTAGGTGTTGGGAAAGTGAAAATAGTCATCAATGAAAATACAAATCTGATCTTAAATGATGTAATGTATACATTTAGTGTTAGGCGGAATCTTTTATCTATACCCCTCTTGGATGAAAAGGGTTTTGATGTTCATTTTAGAGGAGAAAAAGTGTTAATTGGGAAACATGGGAGAGTCTTATTGTTTGGAACTAAGTCTATGGTCTGTATCATTTATCTATTAATAAAGTGAATGTCTCTTTTGCTTATTTTGATTGTGTGTATAATGTGGATGAAAATATCTAAGACTTTGCCATATTAATAAAGACAAAATAACGAGAATGTCTTCAAGTGGCTTAATACCTAAGATGGAAATTAACTTTAAATACTGTGAACCATGCCTTAGTAGAAAATTATCTAGATTACCATTTATTAAAGGAAGAGAATCAGAAGAATTGTTAGATACTGTGCACTTATATGTTTGTGGTCCACTAAATGTAAAGACACACAAGGGAATGGAATACTTAGTGACCTTTATTGATGATAGTTCTAGATTTGGATATGTTTATTTGATTAAAAGAAAATTTGAGGTATTAGAAAAATTTAAAGAATACAAGTTAGAAGTAGAAAACCAATTAGGAAGAAAAATAAAAATATTAAGAAGTAAAAGAGGTGGTGAGTATATATCTAATCTATTTAATGATTTTTGTATACAAAATGGAATAAAACATTAATTAACCATGAGTTAAACTCCACAACAGAATGGAGTTGCTGAACGTAGGAATAGAACTCTACTTGACATAGTAAGGTCAATGTTATCATACTCTAATCTAGGAACACATTTCTGGGGTGAAGCATTAACTACAACAATTTATATTATAAACAAAATACCAACTAAAGTACATAAATTGACACCTCATGAAATCTAGTTTGGTAGAAAACCAGACCTATATAATATTAAATTTTGGGGTTTTGGTGCTTATGTAAGAGTTCTTAATCAACTAAGAAACAAACTAGATAACAAAAGCATAAGATGCACATTTATAGGATATTCAAAAAACAATAAAGGTTGCAAATTCATAAATCATAAATCTGATGGATCTATTGAATTCATAGAAAGTCAGGATGTTGTGTTATTAGAGGACCAAATAAAATATGAAAATGATAGTGTCTTGACTCAATTATTTGAAATAGAAAATGAAGATGTACAAAAAGAAACATATACAATAAATAAATCACCTAAGAATGATACATTAGGAAAAATTCAAAGAGAATGATTCCCCTCTTCCAAACTGAAAGATTATTATATCTTCTTAAATGAAGAATCATTAGATGATCCAATAAACTATTCGGAGGCTATGGAAGCACTCGATAAAGAAAGATGGAAAAAAGCCATAAATGAAGAACTAAATTCAATAAATAAAAATCAAGTGTGAGAGTTGGTATATTTGCCTAGTAATAGAAGACCAATTGGAAGCAAATGGATCTTCAAAAAGAAATTAAAAGTAAATGGTTCTATAAAAAAAAATATAAGACTAGGCTTGTAGCAAAGGGATATACATAAGTTGAAAGTATAGATTATGAAGAAACTTACTCATCAGTAGCAAAATTTACTTCCATTAGAATTTTAATGTCCTTAGTTGCACATTTTAATTTAGAGTTATGTCAAATGGATGTAAAAACCGCTTTCTTAAATGGAAAGCTAAATGAAAAAATTTATATGACACAACTAGAAGGATACATAAGATAAGGGCAAGAAATCAAAGTATATAAATTGAACAAGTCTCTATATGGACTAAAGCAATTCATCACAAAACTTGGGTTTATCCCAAATCTATTCGATCACTATATTTACTCTATGAATAGTGGGAGTTCATTTATTATACTCTCCTTATATGTTGATGATATTTTAATAGATAATAATAATATATCTATGATAAATGAAACAAAACATTGTTTGAGTACTAATTTTGAAATGAAAGGCATGGGAGATGCTAGCTATGTACTTGGAATAAAAATAAAAAGAGACAAAAAATATAAAACATTATCTCTTTCACAAGAAAATTATTTACAAACAATACTTAAAAGGTTTAACATGACAAAATGTAATAGAATCGATACTCCCATTTGCAAAGGAACTAAAATGTCGAAAAACATGGCACCTAGAAATGAAAGAGATGTAAATTATATGAAGAATGTTCCTTATGCACAAGCAGTTGGTAGTTTAATGTATGCAATGTTATGTACAAGACCTAATTTGTCTTATGTTGTTAGTCTTGTAGATACCAAAGTAATTCAAGAATTGCACATTGGTCAGCCATTAAAAGAATTATAAGATATTTACAACAAACCAAGGATTATAGGCTAATATACTCTTGTGATCAATTAGAATTGATGGGTTACTGTGATGGTGATTTTCCAAGAGACCTAGATGATAGAACATCTACTACCATGTTCATCTTCCTTCTAGGAGGAGAAGCCATTTCTTGGGCAAGCAAAAAGCAAGGATGTGTAGCCAAATATACTATGGAAGCTGAGTTCATAGCTTGCAACACAACAACATCAGAAGGAATTTGGATAAAAAGGTTCTTTGAATAATTAAAAATACTAGGTGCACCTGAAGGAGCTATCAGAATGTTCAATGATAATGAAGCGGCCATCAARAYGATAAARAATGGAGAAATTGGTCCAAAAGGAAAGCACATTGACTTGCAATACCGGTATCTTCATGATATCTACCAACGGAATGAGATCCTAGAAGAGCACGTGCCGACAAATGAGATAGTTTCTGATCCATTGACAAAGCCCATTGGGGTTAGTGATTTTAAAAGGCACGT